GCCATTTTTTCCTTAATGGGATTTTAAAGAATTAAAATCAACCAGGTTGTCCTTGATAGAATCAGATTATTACTGTGTGGAGTGTTTCTTGTCTCACATATCTCAGTGAAAGTTATATGTGAACTTTACAATGTTCTTTAGTGTCAGCAACTTAAGTTAGTATATTGTTGATGCAGGCATACCATCATGAACTAAAAGAGGCACATGACTGCTGTCTCAATTACAAGAAAACTGGGAAAGATGCTGAACTTACACAGGTGATCAGAAATTTAAACAAATTTTCAGTGAGTGTTTGCTGTCTTCTTAGGAAAGGGACGGGAACTGACATGTCTTTCTTTTCAATTCCTTATCTTCATTAGGCTTGGGATCTTTACTATCATGTTTTCAAACGGATTGACAAACAGTTAGCCAGTCTTACGACATTGGATTTGGAAGTAATAAGATTCTCCTTTTCTTTGCATCTCTCTCTCCTTTTTGTTCTTGAGCTCTAATCTGACTGGCATGTTATTTGTTAAATAGTCTGTTTCACCTGAGTTGCTACTATGCCGTGACTTAGAGCTAGCAGTTCCTGGAACATATCGTGCAGGTAACATTATACGGAACTGCAAAGTTTGCCTTGGCTGATTTATGTTATTAGGCTTCATTTCTTACATTCATACTTCTGTTGTCTTCTAATTAGATGCCCCCGTTGTGACAATATCATCGTTTTCACGCCAACTTGTTGTCATAACTTCTAAACAAAGACCAAGGAAATTGACTATTCATGGAAACGATGGTGAGGACTACGCCTTCTTGTTGAAGGGACATGAAGATCTAAGGCAAGATGAGCGGGTTATGCAGGTAATTCTCAAATAAATCAGTTGTAAATTGTTCTGATCATTCCGGTTGGAGTTTCAGTTTTGCGCTTCACATATATACAGTTTTCAGCTACATGATCACATCTATGTCTTTCTCTTCTTTGTGTTTCAGCTTTTTGGTTTGGTGAACACGTTGCTTGAGAATTCCAGAAAAACAGCAGAAAAAGATCTTTCCATCCAACGTTATTCTGTAATACCACTATCACCCAACAGTGGACTCATTGGATGGGTTCCGAACTGCGATACCCTGCACCATCTTATACGAGAGTACAGAGATGCGCGAAAGGTTTGTCATCTATTCACTAAGGTTTTTATTCCTGAAACTATCTGCAATGTACGGTGATTCTTACGCCTGCCTTTCTGAAATTTCAGATCATTCTTAATCAAGAACAGAAGCATATGTTGAGTTTTGCTCCAGATTATGACAATCTACCGCTCATAGCAAAGGTTGAAGTATTTGAGTATGCTCTTGAAAACACAGAGGGAAATGATCTATCCAGGGTACTCAATTTCCTTATTCTAGTAACTTTATTTTGGGTAAATTACCTTGGAATACAAGTTGCTTCAATTTTTCTCCTTCTTGGTAGGTTCTCTGGTTAAAAAGTCGCTCGTCAGAGGTCTGGCTGGAAAGAAGAACAAACTATACTAGAAGTTTGGCAGTTATGAGTATGGTATGTAGCTGATTTCATCCTTTGTTCTTTGCTTGTGTAGCATCAAATTTTAAAAATATTCGGTTGTTAAACTCGCGAGTAAAATGAACTTCTTGCATTACTTTTGTGTCAGGTTGGTTATATTCTTGGGTTAGGTGATCGACACCCAAGTAACCTTATGCTCCATAGATACAGGTACACAAAACTGATAAAATGTTAAAACATTACATGTATAACTTTTGGTTATATTTCTTGATCAATGGTTTTAACTGTGCAGTGGGAAAATCTTGCATATTGATTTTGGAGATTGTTTTGAGGCTTCCATGAATAGAGAGAAGTTTCCTGAAAAGGTATTAATTTTTCTGATTTTCTCATATACTTGTTTGCTAAAATTGTGAGTATCAAAGAACCGATGTGAGGATTGTTTAAATACTGTTAGGTTCCATTCCGCTTGACAAGAATGCTTGTCAAAGCAATGGAAGTCAGTGGCATCGAAGGAAACTTCCGCTCAACCTGCGAAAACGTTATGCAAGTTCTCAGAACCAATAAAGATAGTGTAATGGCAATGATGGAAGCGTTTGTACATGATCCTTTAATCAATTGGCGTCTTTTCAATTTCAATGAAGTCCCTCAATTAGCACTGCTCGGTAACAACAACACCAATGCTCCTGCTGGTGTTGAGCCTGAGGAAGAAGATGAAGATCCCACAGATATGGACCTTCCCCAGCCTCAAAGAAGTACTCGAGAGAAAGAGATTCTTCAGGTTTCTTTCGAAAATCTTTGAACTTATATATATTTTTTTTCTTTTTTACAGAGGGGACTTTTTAAATTTAATGCTTGGATTGTTTCAGGCTGTGAATATGCTTGGAGATGCTAATGAAGTTTTAAACGAACGTGCCGTAGTGGTTATGGCACGTATGAGTCATAAACTTACGGGCCGTGATTTCTCGTCGTCTGCAATTCCGAGCAATCCCATTGCTGATCATAATAACTTACTCGGAGGAGATTCTCATGAAGTCGAGCATGGTTTGTCTGTGAAAGTTCAGGTTCAAAAGCTAATCAATCAAGCGACTTCCCATGAAAATCTCTGTCAAAACTATGTTGGGTATGTTCCTCCACACTCCTCTGTTTCTTTTTTCTCTCTCTCTAGCATAAGTTTTGTTTGTGTGATATATAAAGAGGTCTTCGAAGCTAAATTATGAATTCGTTTTTATACCTTTTTGTTGCAGGTGGTGCCCTTTCTGGTGAGATTGGTCATATGTACATTTTTATTTACTATTTTAAATGTGTAAATAGGCTTTGTAATTTTCAGCAAGTTTAATTAATTTGGATTTAGATTGGGATTAACCTATCTTCTTTCTAATGTAAATAATTTATTAGTTTTTATAATCATGTATTATAAGATGCTATAGCGTGGATGAATAAAAATGGTCACATTTTTTTAAGTCTGTCTTTCTTTCATTTTAAAGAAAAAAATACATTTTTCATCTCCGAAGGTATTTTTGTTTATAGGAATTTCAGACAAAAAAAAAGAAAAAGATGATACTATTTTATGAACTAGATATGTTGTCATAGTAATATAGATTTCATAAAATCTATTAGGCCGCCTAGGATCCAAAATCCAAAATGACCTAAATTGCCGTATTCGTAGGTATATGATAAAACTCGATCTGAACCCGATACTGAAACGAGTATTTGATTACCCAAAATTACATATTTTTATACTGATTCCATATATAAATATATATTTTGGGTTAAATGATTCCATATAATATTTGAACTAGATCTATTTATATCCGAAAGGCTAAATGCAATTATATTTGAATATTGAGATTAAGATTAGATTTATATGCGAGATATTGCAATTTTTTAGGATAATTTGGTCAAAACTCTGGTTAGTCGGGTAAAATTCAGATATTAGGAATAAAATTTTTCACGTATTTGGATAAGTTTATATATATAAATTTGGATATTTTGGTGTTATGTACATATTACCCGAATTCGATGAATACCCGATTTTCTGGATATTTAGCGGTTCTAAAAATCTAAGCTAAATTGATCCAAATTCGATCGGTTCCTCCTACTCATACTCAACCCGCATATTCGAGTACCTACCCCTGAAATCCACCATACATAAATTTTGTCACACATTATTTAAATCCAAGTAAAAATTGTGAATTTAAAAGTGAATAAAATAAAGGTCGAAACTGTGTTGTGGCCTGTGGGTTGTTAAGTAACTCAAGTTGTTATAGGCATTTATCTCTTATTAAACCTACCAAAACTAGAGACAATATGGTATTACATTGTCAAGCTACCGTGAGGGAAAGAAAGATTGTTCTTTCTCTATTTGTTATTGTGTACCAATTAATTCGGGAAAGGGGACAAAAACGAGACGTGGAGTATCTCTCAAAGCAGGTCAATCAAAGTTCTTGCTGTTTTTGTTTCCGATCGGTGTTTGGAGGCTCTCATAGTTCCAACATCGATTCGGCTTTAGTCTCCAGATCTTCGGACTATCGATTCTTTCGTTTGAAGAATTGATTTCGAATGATTCTGGTTTTTGTTTGTCCGGAATTTTCCGGCGTGTTTTGCCGTCTCGATCTTCGAGCTTATGTTACCGGTGTGTGCCGGACTTGCCGTCGCCTACTTATTGGCGCTAATAATTAAAACTTGGATGTGTTTGTGGTTTTGCTGGATTATGGTTTAACATGTTTCTTCTTCCATCCTTCATAATGCTTTCCTTGGCTCTGTTTCGGTTCGATCCACCGCCGTTCACAAGTTGTGTGTTTGGCTTTGGTGTTGCCGTTTGGGCGGCTCCCTCTCGTAGTCTCTTCCAATAGAACTTTTAACCAGATTGATCGATATCTGGATAGTTATTTGTTTCCTCACAACCGATGTCGTTTCGTTCGACAAAACCGGCCATGGCTTTTTAAAACGGTTTCAGTTCGCCTCAGTCGAGGTTCCGTTATGCCAATTCAGGAAGCAAAAGTGTTCATTGCCGAAGTCTCTTTATTATCAAGTGAAGACAAAAATACTTGAGAATCAGATATGAAATTGATAGTTTCTTGGCGATTATATTTTTCAAGTTTTTGGAAAGCAACTGTAAGTGAAGGTTGTAAGAAATCTAGATATTCCATAATCGTAGGCTTAAGTTTGTTTCCTTATCCCGAATCATGTTATCGGGCTGATGTATCCCTGGTTCTTGGGGCTAAGTTTGTATGTTGTATGATATCAATAAAATTTTTTATGAGAAAAAAAAAAAAAAACGAGACGTGGAGTCTCCCGTTACGTTACCACTCTCGTTGCGGCAAATTTCTAGCAGCCACACACACACCTGACAGCCTCTGCGTATTTTAGAGGAAACACTTCTTACCATCGCTAACATACGCTGGCAAGAGTTATAAGGTAGTGTTGATGATAAACTCTGCACCGTTGTCTCTCAACCACTTGCTTCAATATTTTCCTGACACAAAAACATATTAATTCCCCCAAAATATATTTTCACGAGAAAAAATCCAAACAAATAGAATAATTTTCGCCGTCTTGAGTTTATCATATTTACTTTGTAAAACTATAAACTCTCCTCTCTCTCTATATTACGCCGCTTCTTCTTCTTCCTCCTCCTTCTCCCTATTTCGTCTGCGGTGACGACCACTGGATCATGAATCTTTCTTGGAACTGAAGGAAATCGAATAGATAATCAAAAAAATGGCTTCTTCCTCTCTGGAGATTGTTAAATTCTGTGTGTCTCCTGTTTCGATTTCCCGCCATAAATATCCCGTTAAATTGGAATCTAGGAAAAGGGTTTTGAGATTACCTGATTCTAGGAGTTGGCATCGTCTCGGTAGATCTCTTAGGGTTCGTTCTTCTGCTCTTGACGGCGATAATCAGTCCAAAGGTCACCCCTTTTTATTCTTCTCTTGCTTAATTAATGTAGAGAGTAGCCTGATTTTGATTTTATCTGTAGACAGGATTGTTTTGATGTTATTAGATCTTTAATCCTTTGTTAATCACTCACTAAAAATCTACTTGTTTCGTTATTGTTCTAATTCAAACATATATGTTTGGTTTTGGGTTGTTATTTATTACTAATTTGTCTATGTATTGGTTGAATTTGGAGTTGTAAGATGGAGTAAGATTTTGATTTGTGGAATTGAGTTTGTTTTTTTTTGGGTAGGTGAAGAACCTCCAGAATCTTTGTTTATGAAAGAGTTGAAGAGACGAGGTATGACTCCTACTTCTTTGCTTCAAGACTATGAAGTGGATCAAGATGAGATAAAAACCGGTAAAGAAACTGGAAACAAAACGACTGCAACTACTCCAGCATTTGATCCAAGCTTGCTAAATCAGAGAGAGAGATCATTGGCTTTAAACAGCGAAGGGCTTGAGGTCAGATTAACTCACATCTAATCTAACTGATAGAAATTATGTTCATTGTGTCCCCATAATTCTCTTACCAGCTTATGCAGTTATAATACAGTTTGATTCTTAGGACTTGATTAGTAGAGGTTCCTATAATAACACCAGAACATACTTTTCTTTAGGCAATTTGTCAAGTACTGCCTTTATGTTTACTTGATCGTCTGTAAATACGAGAAATTGGAACCATAAGTTTCTACAAACATGGAAGCAAATTACATAATTGAAAGTTAGGGAATTTGTCAAGTAAAGCATGTAGAGCACTACTGTTTTTATGTGTTCAACCAAATAAAAGAAAAGCATGGTTAAACCGAACTAAATCTTGGTACCTTATATTCGGTTTCCTCATCTGATTTGGTTGCTGGCTAAGCATTTGATCACTTGCAACTCCATCATTAACTATTGCCATGTACTGTTTATTGTTGTTTCAGGGATTGATTCCGCGGGCTAGGATCTTGCTGACAATTGGGGGTACTTTCTTCTTGGGTTTTTGGCCGTTGATAGTCTTAACTCTCGGTGCCTTCTCTGCCCTTTACCTCGTAAGTATTTAATAAGATCAACAAGTCTACTTTCTTCATTATAATTCTTGAATCCTATGAAAGAGTCATTTTGGTGAAGAAGAGATCACTTAACTCTGACCCAACCAACTCCTATTTACATTTATTCTTATATAATTACTCTTTCTTCTCCCCATCCTTGTCACACATTGTTTTGCCACAGAAAGTTTTTCAGAATGAGCTTTTTTAAAGGTTCCTTCTTTTTATGGCGTTACGGTTTCACTCCACAAACTGATTTTGTATTATTCTCTCTTTTCTTTTTTGTTGAAAATGCAAGTACTTTGGAGCAGATTTCGTTCATGACGGAAGTAGAACTCCGGTCTCACCACCACCGTACATTGACCCATATTCTCTGTTGGAAGATGAGAGGATATCAGGGATTGATCCTCGTTTAAATTAGCTGCTACAAATTGGTCTTTGTGCTCTCTACACAACTAGTAGTATATAGTATTGGGGCTCGAAGTATATATTTTTATTTACGTCTTTCCTCTTAATATCCTTACGTATGTAAAAAAGAATTGTTTCTCTCTTAAGGGTTCAAAAAGTTTCAATCTTTTAACCATTCTACTCATACGTGATTTGGAAATAATGTCAAACAAAACCAAAAATTAAACTGTATCCAGTTTTATCCTAACCAAAGTATATATTCAGGTTATGTGATCCGATTTGATCATAGAGAAACTAGGCTTTATGTAGCATTCCACCAACGACCAAGATATACTCAAAATACCCTAAGCATAGGATATATTAATATCAATATAAGGTAAACAAAAGCAAAGCGTTCAAGCGAAAGCAAACGATACACGCCCAAAGGTAAGAATTTCGAGCCCAGTCACAACACGAGATAATAGAAACCCACACAAAATCCGAAGTTTTTAGAAACATGGTTCTTAGTATTCCTCTCCTTCATCATCCTCATCGTCACCACCTTCAGCACCGACCTCTTCATAATCCTTCTCCAACGCAGCAAGATCCTCACGAGCCTCTGAGAATTCTCCTTCTTCCATACCCTCACCCACATACCAGTGGACGAAAGCACGTTTCGCGTACATAAGATCAAACTTGTGATCAATACGGGAGAACACCTCAGCAACACTCGTGGAGTTCGAGATCATACAAACAGCTCTCTGCACTTTAGCAAGATCACCTCCTGGAACCACTGTTGGTGGCTGGTAATTGATACCACACTTGAATCCAGTAGGACACCAATCCACAAACTGGATTGTGCGCTTGGTCTTGATGGTGCCAACTGCCGCATTCACGTCCTTGGGGACAACATCACCACGGTACATCAAACAGCAAGCCATGTACTTTCCGTGACGTGGGTCACACTTGGCCATCATGGAAGATGGCTCAAAAGCACTGTTTGTGATCTCAGCAACTGAGAGTTGCTCATGGAAGGCTTTCTCTGCAGAGATGACTGGTGCGTAGGAGGAAAGCATGAAATGGATTCTTGGGTATGGGACCAAGTTAGTTTGGAATTCAGTGACATCAACATTCAAGGCACCATCAAACCTCAGAGAAGCAGTCAAGGAAGAGATAACCTAAAACCAAAAAAAGAGAGTGATCATTAGACACAAAACAGCAGCAAGGTAAGTGTTTAAAGGGTTATTTGTTGCTGGCTGGTTCTATACCTGAGAGACAAGACGGTTGAGGTTGGTGTAGGTTGGTCTCTCAATGCTCAAGGAGCGTCTGCAGATGTCGTAGATAGCTTCATTGTCCAGAAGAATAGAGACATCAGTGTGTTCCAAAAGAGAGTGAGTGGAGAGGACACTGTTGTAAGGCTCAACAACAGAGGTAGAGACCTGAGGAGATGGGTAAACTGTGAATCCCAACTTGGACTTTTTGCCATAGTCAACGGAAAGTCTCTCAAGGAGGAGAGATCCAAGACCAGACCCAGTTCCACCACCAACAGCGTTGAAGACAAGGAATCCTTGGAGACCAGTACAGTTATCAGCGAGCTTTCTGATACGGTCCAAGCACAGATCAACAATCTCTTTCCCAACTGAGACAAGAAATCAAAAATCAAACCAGTTAATACTCAATGGAATCAACAAAATATGGCTATTGGAAGGAGATTTATAAAGGGATGAGTATCTTACTGGTGTAATGCCCACGGGCGAAGTTGTTAGCTGCGTCTTCTTTACCGCTGATGAGTTGCTCAGGGTGGAAAAGCTGACGGTAAGTACCAGTTCTGACCTCATCGATCACAGTTGGCTCAAGATCAACAAAGACAGCACGTGGGACGTGCTTCCCAGCACCGGTTTCACTGAAGAAGGTGTTGAAAGCATCGTCACCTCCGCCAACAGTCTTGTCACTCGGCATCTGACCATCAGGCTATAACATCCAAATAGAAAACACCGAATCAACACAATGGCTATACAAAACGAAGTGGATCCAAAGATCTAATACATGGAAGCGACGATGAAAAGAGAAAACCGAAACGAATCTATAAATAAAAGAGTTGGATCTAAAGATCTAATACATGGAAGCGACGATGAAAATAGAAAATCGAAACGAATCTACAAACAAAAGAACTGAATCTGGCATCGTCCAAAACAATTGTCAAGGCGTCGATCTAAACAGGTAACATTTGTTAACAAATCTACAAAAGAGTTATCGTTCGTCGAATGTTTTTCGAGATAAGAAACGGATCTCACATCAACGATACCAAATTTTCCAAGAGATCAAAATCAAAAACAGATCTAAACAATTAGTACTATAGATCTGCCATTAAAATCATAAACCCGAAGAACTAAGGAGAAATGCAGGACTAAATATCTCAGATCTGATCAACAAACAAGGAGAAAAATAGCGGAAACCACAGATCTAGTTGGAATAAAGAAATGCAGGACCAAATATCTCAGATCTGATCAACAAACAACGAGAAAAATAGCGAAAACCACAGATCTAGTTGGAATAAAGGATGAAGAAGAAGAAGAGACGAACCTGAATGCCATGTTCAAGGCAGTAAAGCTCCCAGCAAGCATTTCCGACCTGGATACCGGCCTGACCAATGTGGATCGAGATGCACTCTCTCATTTTCGTTTCGGGGAAGAAAAGATCTAGAACCTAGGTTTACAGGGAAGAAGAAGAAGAAGAAGAAGGGCGTTTATGAAGACGCTCTTCTTTAGATGATTTAAAAAAAAAAAACTGGATCTGGTTTTTCCGATATCTAGGTTTCACCGAGGTGCTTGATGCTGTGTATTTATAAAGCGAAAGTATCCATCTGTATGTAACGGCACGTATACGACACGTGTAATGATGTAATTGGGTCGTTTTTTAACCACGATCTGTTGGTATCTTCGTGAGCTGCGTATTTTCTAATTTTGAATTTTGCTCGTTGGGCACTCTCTCTCTCTGTCTTTTCGGAGATGGTCGGACGTAAATAGCCTTTGCTGTTTCATTACAACTTGATGATTAGTTTTTTTTTTTAATAGACGACAAGGAAAAGAACCAAGCAATTTCATATATTAAATGGGTGGTTAAATAAGACGATATTGATTATTGATATACATTATTATTGTATAATCATGTACTTTTTATCTATTGAACCAATCAATTTTATCTTTACTTCGCTTTAGCAAGAAAACCTCATTTTATTCTCTACAACTATTCACATCAAACGATTTTTTAAAATTCGGTGATGAATATTAAAACATTCAATTGCTTGGAAGTCTCAAATTCTAATCCAAATTAATTTATTTTATACGTTTATTAGATTATACACGCATAAATACATGGGTATAAGAAAAAATGATAAATTTTAGGTAATATTCAAATACTAGTTTTAAAAAACTAAAATATTAGTCAATGTATATTTGTTTTACGAAAAAGAAAAGAAATAGATACATAAAAATTCATGGTTTTCTCCAGTATTTAATATGCATATTGTTTAGTGATTTTGTTTGATGATATCATATACCTTTAGTACATTTTTACAAATATATACATCTAAAATCCGTATATCCCATCAAAGTGAAGACAAAAGATCTCCCCATAAAGTAGTCAAACATCTCTTAATATTTTGGTTAAATCCAAAAGATATGGTATGCCAGGGAAAGTATAACTTGAAATGTATTCAAACATCTCGTGTAGTGTAGAATGTAGATAAGACATAATATATACAGACATGTACAAGAAATTAAGAATGTGATTTGAGGAAAACTTTGGACCATTTAAGAAGAAGATGATGGATATTAGCATCCATGCGAGTGCCAACTCCACCCCACACTAACATGTCAGCCATGTCTCCCATCGACGACCCACTCACTTCTTTCACCTCTTCGAACCCAATTCTTCTGTAAAACCTAACCAGCTGGATACATGCAAATTCAGCTCTGTTCAGTATGTGTTAGGTTGGTTAGGTACATATATATTAACCGTATGGAAACCGGAATTAATTCGGGTATGTTAACCATATATTGTATTACAGACCAAACCGATTTAAATGATAACCGAATTAGATAGTTCTTTCTTAGATCCGGTTCGGTATAACCAAACAAGATTCTCAATTTCAATTTCGATCGAGAGAGAGAGAGAGAGAGAGCGACCTTGGAATGGTAGAGATCGGAGTCGTAGATAGCGAGAAGCTGAGCAGTGCGGCAACCACAGTCGTAGCCATGGCGAATGGCTACAGCTCCGACGTATAAACCAACTCCAAGAACAGATTTATCCATTGCCATCGTCTCTTTCGTCAGCCTTATCGTGTCCAAATGCAGAACCAAGCCGCGTCCGAACCATGGACGCACCACTCCCTCTGCTCTTCCCACCTCACCGCCTGTGTCTGCGTTCTTCCCCGTCACTCTGAAAAATGGTCCTAAAGTCTGGATCTTTAAGTCTAGATTTCGAGCTCTTGATGACTTCAGGATGTCTGACATCGACGGTATGGATTTGGGATCGCCTAGGGGATTGTACGGTGAGAGATTAAGTTTCGGTGGGTTCAGAGCCATCTTCATTTCTTCTGTGTTTCGTTCCTGAAAGAGGTTCAGATAAAATAATCAAATACAATGATGGGATAATATAGGTAACAAAGATGACACGTGGCCTTCTCCCGGAGAATCGAACATTTCTAAAAGGAGCACTTTTACTAACAAGGAAAGCTCAACTATGGATGGAGAACATGAACAAGACTTACAAGTTTTGGTTGCTCTTTATGAAGAACGTGTGTATTGGGATGTGTTTGCTACTGTCCTTTTGATCTCGTTTCTGCTTCTTTGGCTTGGAATTTGCCTTTTCCTTTCCGAGAATCCTGATATGTGTTTGGTTATAAAGTTTCAGTGAGAATTGTGCAGAGGCTTGTGAGGACAAAAAAAATAATGGAGTAGGCTTTAAATTGGTACGGTGAACTGACCTTCGTTTTGAAGGTGTCGTGGAAGAGCTAGAGCCAGATTCTTCGCTTTGAAGTCTCTGAGCAAGATGGAAATCAGAGTGTTCTTGTCGTTCCTCAACAAAAGATGGTGGTAACTCTATCCCACACAAGATGCATTTGTAGCCATCAACCCAAAATAACGGCTCTGTTTGAGGAAATACTGAAACTGATTCGGTGTTTTGTGCATTAGGATTATCATTCATTGAGTGATTAGTATCTGGTTTCCCCTCCCTGTGTTTTATGAGAAGAGCATCTCCTTCCAATACTTGCGGCATTTCTTCCTTTTTCATACATTTTTGATTTGGAATTACCTTTTCAGAATGTATATCAGACCGTTCGTCATATTCGACATGCTTAAGATGGGCATAGCTTGTCTCACGGGAACCACAGGATAAACTCCGGCTCTCGTTGTTACTTAGGAAATTTTTACTAGCATCTATGTCAAATGACTCATTATCATCCAGATCATGTCTTGAGGAATCCTTTTGAACGATGAACTTTGTGATAGTTCCTTGTGAAGGATCAGAATTGCGGACTTCTTCCATGAACTGAGACATGCGCAACCCTGCATATACGCAGATCGAATTCCAGAATTTAGTAGATAGGCTAGTACAAATAATTTTATGTTTCTCAAGAAAAAATAACAACGAACGCTAAAGAGCCGCCGCACCTATCAACCTTACGGAAACAGGAAGTTCCGCCTTCAGCAGCTTTGTAGCATGCTTTAGTATATCATCACTTGAACATGTGTACCTCTGCAGACTAACAGCTCTGCTCCTGATCTGAGGATAGCAGAAAGCATATAGTCACGCTTCAGCACAAAGGGTGGATTTCAAATCGGAGAAATAGAAAGAAAAAAAAATTAGAAGAGCACCTCAAAGGAGGCAGTTTTCAGTTTAAGTGTCAATGTCCTTGCTGTTAGACCCTCCTTTTTCATGTCCTGAGATAGCATTTCTGCAATTTCAGCTGCACAGTACAAAGCGATAACAATTCAATCAAAATTTTGTCAAAGCAAATCTTTTACACCATATAGATTCGTTTAGTCTAAAAAAAAAACAGGTTGGGGTAACATTGATAACTACCACAGGAACAAACTATGAATTCAATTAGTCTGGTTAAACAATCCATTATTGTGCTAAATTTCTCTATAATCATTGTTGATTGGTTTGCCTTTGATTATTGAGTTCTGTAGGTACTTATGAGAGGAAAAGAAACATATATACTACTCACCCAACTTCGAATATAGCAATCTTTCATCTCCTGTTGCAGAAAATGTCCTCTCACTGCTAATACTTTTACGAGACCTAACCTGAGGGGTGTCTGTTCCTCCAAGCCCCAGTCCAACCGACAAAAAAAAGTCTACAAAATGTTTCCGAGCAATCAACAAAGCATGATAAGTTAATGTGACATAATAAGTAATGCATATAAACAAACAAATTGTTTGCTGAAAAGGAACCGTAAATAAGGAAACAGGAGATGCTGCTACCTGCTGACGACTGAGAAAACAGAGCGTAGAGAAGGGATCCCTTCTGCACCATCTCCTCACATGTTTTAATTCCCAAAGCATCGTTCAGAATATGTTCAGTAACCTTACCAATTCCACCGATCTGTTAACCAATTTCCAATTGGCATTAAGTGACTAATAAAAACATAGTATCATTTCCTAGCACAAAGTTTCAACTAAAACTCTAATTGAATTACTTTTTCAAAACCCTAGGCTAATGGTTTTGACACCTCATAAAGAACCAACCCCCAGCCGTCACAAACAATGTGAGGTTTTTTGGTTCTGTCCCAACAGAAACTAAGTTCTGCATGGCATCTCTACTACAACCAATACTCAAATTTTCTACAAAATATAAGAATAATCATCTCGCCACCGTAAATGAATAATCATCTGCCCCTCTACGCAGCAAACTGAAGGATCTGACTTCTGAGGAATCATTGGAGTGGTAGTTCTCTTTCTAGACTTTCAAAGGAAAAAAAAGCTTACAAGAGTTTGACAGCAAAGGCACCAAACCTGGATAAAATACCTTTCTCACGGGAAGGGAAGATATGAATGTCATGACAGTTGATCGGTCATTTTGTAGAACAAACTGTCCATTAGGCTTATTAATGTCTGAGCAAACCTGAAATATAGCTCGATAAGAAGACAATTTTTGTAAATAGTAATATAGACCACATTGACAGAAAAAGTTATGCTAATATAAAAAGAACCTTAGCAAGCAAGCGGTTTGCCGCTACTCCAGCACTGCATGTCAATCCAGTCTCGGAATAAACAGAAGATCTAAGCTCCTCTGCAATCTGTACAAAGTGAAGAAATGGTCAGGGAACAGTTGCAGTGTTAGCGAAACTTTTCTCAAAGATATGACCATCACAAACGAATGCATCTCATGAGCACACACTTACTTCTCCACCTGAAAGACCTCTTTCTCGACAAACCTCAGTTATGTCAAGGTAGGCTTCATCCAAACTTCCAGCAATGAAGTGAGGATCATAGCTCCCAAAAACTAAATGAAACACATATATTCAAGTAAGAACAGAGAAACGAGAGCTGCAAGCAAAAAGCTACACATGTCAAATGAGTACCTTTTCTTGTTAAGTCACTATAGTGAGTATACTTGGTGAAATCTACAGGAACAAATATCAAGTCTGGACACAATTTACGAGCAATGAAGCCAGGCATAGCTGCACGGACCCCAAACTTCCTTGCCTAAGAGGGATAGTAGAAAATTTACCAATGAGTACAAGTCGTAAGAATAATAAGTTGTAGCAAACTGTTTATCAACCAGTTGAAAACCACAGCATACCTCATAATTAGCGGTAGAGATCATGGACAATCCTCCAACAGCCATCGGCTTTCCCTTGAGCGAAGGATCACTCAAAGTTTCAACAGCAGCATAAAAAGCATCCATATCAACATGCAGCCAAATCCTGGAAAGGTCACGTGAAGCTTCTAGCTCTAAGATCCTTCTATCAACGACCTTCAAATGGTAAAAGGTTATGTATAGTTTAGGGCTCTCACAAAACAAAAGTGAAAGATTACAAAAACTAGTAATCCCTATCATAGTCAAACTACTCACTCAAAAAGACATGTTTGGTGTAGCTAGAAACCTCACACAGAAATAGTGGCACATACCTTTTGATAAGTAGATAAAACAGAAGAAGAAAGCTTTGCACATCGGTCACGCATATGCTCAATCTTTTGTTTCATAAGAGCATCTTTACGTTCCTCATTCTGAAAATATTTGGACCCTTTACTCATTTCATAGACAATCCTCTGGACTTTCTCCTTATCAACTCCCTCCATTCCTAACAAATATACATACATTGACAAGTTTAGAAACTTAGTTCAAACATCAACCAATTACTAAAGATTCAACATTTGACATTCCGCAATTGAATCTTCTCATCTGAACCAAAAAAAAAACAAAACAGGAGAAAACTGTTCTAAAGACCAGTCAACTATGTGGACTGAACCACGAATTGATAGATTCTCCAGATTATTAGGAGTGATTCTACTGTGGACGAAATCGCTATAGATCGCTGAAAGAAGAAGAAAAACCCTATGAGGGGGGAAACAAACCGGCTTTAGCGTTGGTGAAGACGGTGTTGTAAGATTCCCATGGACGCGACGAATTGTTGGTTGATGATGATTCGCCATTATCCATCTTCCCCAGTCTTCTTCCTTCTCTACGAAGCCTTGTTAGAGAAGAGAAACAATTTGGTCGCCGAAATTTTTATGTTTGGAAGGCGTAGCGGAAAAAAACCCCGCCCGATTCATACTGAACCGAACCGAAATTTATTTTATTGCGATTTAATGCATTACCATTTTAGCTTTTCTAGTAATATCTTTAATTTTAAAATTTGTTCAAAATGATCCCTAATGTTTTTTTTTTTTTTTGACATCAATACAAATTATAAATCTCTCTTTGAGAGGGACCGGGCTCGAACCCGGATCTGGTGAGAAGGCAAACAGAGGTGAGAACCACTAGCTCACTTGCTCCTTCTCGATCCCTAATGTTTCTTAAATTAAAGTTTAAAATTTTTCAAAATAATCAAAAAGGATGGCTAGTGTTTCTTATATTTGCTTAATGAAGCATGCTCGATCGGTTTATCGAAGCCGAAATTACTGACTGATTAGATTGCACTTATGGTTTTGTCGGGTTGTACCTTAAATAAAAAAAAGAGTTTGGGATGGAAGAAGGATTAAGTGAGAAATTCGGCTTTTTCTCTTAATCTCTTGTAAAGTTTGTTTAGAAGTTTTTGACTAGTTTGGTTTTGTAATTTTTGGCTTTGATCTTCTTTGGTTTTTAGACTTTTAGTCTCATGTGTTGTGTACTGACTTTTCTGACGGGGATTATAACACTTCAGTTGACCCAATAAAATCCCTATTCGGAATTAATGTATGTTGTTAACAAGTGTTTTATTGGATTTCGGTTTGAATTCTTGGTTTTATTCTAATGCTTTTGCGTGTTTGATTATGATCTTTGATCTTGAGAAGATACATGATAGAATCACGTTTGCACCCGCAGGTGAAAAGCATTAAGGATACTATAAAATGTGTCAAGAAGTTAGCTACCGGGAACGCCGTGGACAAGTTTATCCACGAGTAGACGGGTTTAATTAAGAAACATCCTTAAGGCTCTTTAGAAATATTTCTCTGCCCACCATGGACACAGGAGACTACGAACTTCAAGGTCACTTCTCCACTCCACTCTCTTTGACTCTGTCATTGCATCCACAATATCGTGGAGTTTGGATTCTCGTACTCCTTAGCTTCTCGAAATTATTGAGAAAGCCAAGAACATATTTTTCAACCAAAACTTAAGCAAGATTTTTAAATTTTCTGAGCAGTCCTTTTTTACAAAACAGTTTCATAGACATACAAAAACTTATCATCATCATCATTTGTTGGCTTTGAGCCATTCAAGAATCTGTTTCTCAGACTCACTGAGCTCAGCTTCTGTCTTTCCCTTTGTAGATCCTTCCACAAACTCAAAGTAGTCTCTATAATTCCTCTTGTAGTAACTGTCCAATCTCTGTTTCCATTTTTCCCAACATGCATGAACGAAAATAATAATCATAAGACAATTTCAGACAAATTATATCAATTTTGGTATGTGTAAATTCATTTCTCTTGATACGAACCTCCTTATCATTCTTGGATTTGTTTTCCTCACTCTTCTTCAAATACTCTGAAACAATCCTTCCCCCAAAAGAACAACATAGTTTAGGCACAAACAAGAAACAATAAAAAATGTAACGCAAAACACAATTAAGCATGTAAGAATAATTACTCTGGAGAAGTTGATCGCTGGTGGTCAAAGCGGCTGCGATGAAGGACGTGGAGGAGAAGATGACGTTTCTGCGTCCTAAATCAGCGGTTTGAGTAGTTAAAGAATCGCGTTTGGATTCATTCCTGCGTACAGATTGAACACTGGAAGAAGCGTATTTGTTAACCGTTACTGTCAAAGCCATGAGAATGCTTTGGCCTATGGAACTCATCTTTTCTTTTCTTCTTCACCAGAAGATAAGATTTTATCTACAATACAGAGAAGCAAACAAATAACTTTTCATTAATTTTTAATAAGTCCCTAACTATGTAAATTTACAAGATAAACCCTGAAATCTATTAAAAATCGAATTCAAATCCAGATAGAAATATGTAGAGACAAAACCGGTTTCTTAGACAAAAGTTCTCAAACCGATTCTGGTTCGGTCGAGTTTTTGACTGAACAGTAGTTTACTTACATCTTCTTCATCCGACGATAGCAAAAACGACAAGCAATCCCTAATTTCGCCTCAAAAATCCCAGAGAGCTTCATTTTTTTCAAAGTCATCATCTTCGTCTTATTCTTCTTCTTCTTGTTCGTTGGTAGCTGAATCGGAGATGGCGACTTCTCTGGTTTCTCCTCTTACTTCACAACTCAACCATGAAGCTGTCTGTTCCAAGTTCGTGCCTCCTAAATCGCCGTTCATGTCGGGATCCAAGCTTTTTTCCTCGAACATGCCTTGCTCTACTGTTCCTAGACCCACAAGAAGATCACGCTGCGTTGCTTCTGCTAAAGATATGAGCTTTGACCATATCCCTAAACAATTCCGAGGAGACAATCTCAAAGACGGAGGTTTTTCTTTTCTCTCATCTTTCTTAGCTTTTCCTTCTGATAGATTTGTTCTTAGGTCTCCAAATTTGAACTGAGTCGCAAAGTTCTGTATTTTCCTTTGGTTAGGCTAGACTAAGTATCTACCAGACCTTAGTGAACCATTAATCTCCTGTCATACTAAGTGTCAGGACGATGAATTAGGATAATTGTTGTAGAAAAGATTGTTTCTTAGGGGGTTTAGTTCCGTTTGCAATACCTCGATGTTGTTTATCATCTAAGTTTGTATAGCAAATCTCTGTGGGCTTTTGCTGTCTCTATGTCTTAATTTGGATTTGGTTTTGGTTTAAACACACTAGCTTCAGCAAAGTGAAAGTCTTTTGTCCTCGATAAGTTGTCTTACATGTAATGGAATGGCTAAATATGTTAGCTTGATTGCTACAATCCTTGGTTGGAATGAAATTTGAGCTTAGGAGAACAAGTTTCGCCACAAGTGGATAAAATTGTAGAACTGTGTTTTCTTTAATGCTCTGTGTATTTGATGTTGACATACTATTTTTCTTCGCCTTTTTCTTTAGTGATGCAGAACTTCAAGAATGTACCGCAATATTTTTACGGGCTTAATCCAGCTCAAATGGATATGTTCATGACAGAGGATAGCCCTGTCCGTCAGCAAGCAGAAAAAGTTACAGAGGTTAGTTTCTCAAGCCTTCTAATCAGTCTTTTCACCCTTACGAATCTGGAAACAGCTAAATATAAGATGAACAAAGTTGCTTCTCAAGTATATAAATCTTAACTTGTTTGTGGTTGTGCTACTTTCTAAACAGGAAAGCATCTCGTCTAGAAGAAATTATTTGGACAATGGAGGAATATGGAGTATGTCCGGTATGAATGCAGCAGATCCTAGAAGATATAGCATGAGTGTCCAGATGTACAGAGGTGGAGGTGGCGGAGGAGGATCTGCAAGACCAAGAACTGCTCCTCCAGATTTGCCTTCTTTGCTTTTGGATGCTCGGATATGCTACCTTGGAATGCCAGTAAGACCATCATGTCTCAAAAATCTGTTACTAAACCCAATTCTTTGCTATTGTGTTTTCTCCCCGCTCAGGCAATGTATCTTGCTCATTTTTTTCTGTATTTTACTTGTAGATCGTACCTGCTGTTACTGAGTTACTCGTTGCTCAATTTATGTGGCTAGACTATGATAACCCAGCAAAGCCCATCTACCTATACATAAATTCACCGGGGACCCAGGTCAGTACAAGAATTTTGTTAACTTATTGTTTCTTTTGCTGGTAGTTTTCTGGCATTATTGTGATAACCTGTTTGTTACCTTTAACGAGCTATTAATTTGGCCTTTTCCTTTTGCTTATGCATGTAGAATGAGAAGATGGAAACTGTTGGATCAGAAACAGAGGCTTATGCCATAGCTGATACCATCTCTGTAAGTGATCTCACTAAATCTATAAAAACATTTATCTGTATTTTGATGATAAGTTCATCTAATGTGTTATCTTCTGCTCCATGCGCTAGATTACAAAGTTTCTTTTACTGAGTTTTGTAACTTTTTTTTTTTTTTGTGGTTTAAAAGTATTGCAAATCAGATGTATACACTATCAATTGTGGCATGGCTTTTGGTCAAGCAGCAATGCTTCTTTCTCTCGGGAAAAAAGGTTATCGAGCCGTACAACCACATTCATCAAGTATGTTTCTGTTCTCTTAACTTGTGCATTTAGATCATAATAAACATATGTAATGCCTCTTGCCCACTTGTGTAAGCTTCTAAGTTTGATGTTGAATGGTGCAGCAAAATTATATCTGCCAAAAGTAAACAGATCGAGTGGAGCTGCCATAGATATGTGGATAAAGGTTTCGCCCACATTCTTATACCCTTCTATGTAATTCCCTCAAGTTACTTCATCTTACTGTAATAAATAATTCTCTGGCAGGCCAAGGAACTTGATGCAAATACCGACTACTACATCGAGCTACTAGCTAAGGGAACAGGAAAAACCAAAGAGCAAATCAATGAGGACATCAAGCGACCTAAATATCTCCAAGCACAAGCAGCCATTGACTATGGAATTGCAGACAAGATAGCTGACTCGCAGGATAGTTCCTTTGAGAAACGGGTAACTTTTATTATAATTTACATTCACCAAAACCAAGTAATTTGTGTTTCATTCATGCTAAAGTGGAAAATATATTTGGTTTTAGGATTACGATGGCACTCTTGCCCAGAGAGCCATGAGACCTGGAGGAGGCAGCCCAACCGCTCCAGCCGGACTAAGATGATCAAATTCCCACCGAAAAAAGAGTCTGGATCTCGAATTTCCTAGCCACTCTGTAATATGTAGCTCTTTACAAGTTACAAGCCATAAGGCAAACACATGTAGTTGTAACATACAAAAGCGTTGGCAAAAAGGAATAAAACATCAAGAATTCGCTTCAGTGAAAAGTTATTTGCTGTATACATATATCTGTCTAGATGCAGGTTTCTCACTCTCTGGAAAACGAGCTTTGGATTTTTCGGGATTTTCAGAAAGAAGGGAAGAATCGGTTGAGTTTGTAAGGCAATGCGTAAAACTCTTCTGTTCGAGTATCAGTGTGGTAGACTCTGAATTTCTCCCACCAATGTCTTCCACTGTCTCTCCTCACCGAGGCATGTCCATAGCTATGAGTACAGTCCAACAAGAACGCTGCCATTATCCCAACCGTTGCAGCCGAAGAGAATATCACTTGCATTATCACATTGAACTTCGTTGTTGGCAACACCAGAAACGAATCAGTACACAGGACAAGACAAAAAAAAGGTGATAATGAAGGTTTATGTTTCTCTTGGACACTTACAGCAGAAGTACGTGTGTGAACAGGTCCACGACCAGAGATGAATAGATATTCGGTGAAGTATTGTGCCACAGAGAGACCGATGAAGATGGAGAAGCCAAGGATAAATTTAGTCCTAAAGCTGTTTAAGTTACAGAATTGAAGAAGGCCAAGTCCCGCAGAAGCTGTTTACAAGGTCATGTGCTTAATCTCAATCATTTTTATAGAATCTAAAAGAATTAGAAAGATTTGGTTTACTCAAGTTATCCATACCAACATAGGCGAATAGAACACAGTACACAGCTGCAAAGATCGGTAATGGTATCGATGCAAGAACAGCCCCAAACTTCCCTGTTTTTCACCAAGTTTAACAGTCGATTACAAAAAAAATAAACGGAGGGCTAATCCTTTCGGAGTGACTTCACGGGTTCGAGCATTACCGAAAATGGAGAAGAAGATCATGAAACCTGCAGATATCTGAACCACTCTTCTGCTCCCAACCTTTGTTAATCCTAAAAGACCCGTATTTTCTCTACAAATGACAAGAACAAATTAACAGAGTTTAAGATTCGGAGCCTGAAATATAATTTTCTTGTTTGAAGAAAACTGCAGAGGAGAAAGAGAATGGTTCCATTACACTAATGCTGTGGAACCTGTTGCTGTTCCAAACAGTCCATCCAGCAAAACGCCTATGCCCTGTTTTATTCAATTCCCACAAAGCACACACATCAGACTGACATACTAACATTCTTGAAATCAAATCATTATAACAATCCGTTTTACCTGCCATCCAATGCCACGGCTAAGCACCGAGGGAGGTATATGTGTTGCGCTACCAAATCTTGAAGCGGCGATGAAGGAACCTGTAGTCTAACCCATTGAAAAAATACAACAACAACAAAAATGATCTTTTAGAAAGATAGATCCTTCTGTAAACCAAAAATATGAATGTAAATGGTAGCACAACCTCGACAATTGCCACATAGGTAGCTGCCATCATTGCGAATGCATCGCTTCCATGAAAACTTGGACGCCCCCATTGCAATGGATATGGAACTCTCACCCTTAGAAAGAAAGGAAAAATAAATTGTCAAGAGAGCCCTATGTTTGTTTCTGAAACAGAGATCCAGTGACAAATGGGAGATGATCACAGACCATGGCGAAGCACTGATGAGACCCGACCGGTCTGTTCGACAACTGAGCTGTGTAATGTCCGGTCTTTTGTCGTAAGCTCCAGCTGCTGTCAGAATCTCTGCGTAAGCCCAGACGATCGCTATTGTGAACAGAACAGCGAATTGTTCGCATATGGATCTCTTACACTTGAACAAGTGAGGAAGATACTAACAACAATCATACAACCACTGTCAGAGATTCACAAATGATAAGGGTTTACAGAAAATCTCTCAAAATTAAACAAAACCTGAGATAAAATGATCAGAATAATCAATGCTGGGAGTCCAATCTCTATACATCTCGCAAGCTGCAAAAGAAAGACTAATTAAGCTCCTCTCACCCTTCACATTTATTTTTTCTTGCAGTTAATCTTACCTGAGGAAACGAAAAGGCGACGAGGCCAACGGCTGTGAGAATCACGAGAGGAGCAGCCGAAAGAGGAGTAAGAAACCTGGAGAAGTTTTATAAAAACCAAAAGCAAAAACTTTAGGGCTTAAAGTTTCTTGTTCCACAGGTAACAGTACAACACATAAGCTTTTAATATTTTTCTCCAGACCTGACCAAGATCCTCCACAAGCCAAAGAAACCCACAATCATATGAAATATAGAAGCAATGATAAGAGCTCCTTGGATTGCTCTCATTGTCTCCTCAAATCTCTGCAATAAAAACACATTAAACTTTTCATTTTTTCGATTTGCAATTTTTTTACAAATATCTTGAAAGAATCAAGAAAATGGATTGTGAATTTAACCAGGTGAGGGTGAAGATAGTAAGTGAAACGGTAAGAGAAAGTGATGTAAAGAGCAGGGATGACGTAAGCATAAGAAGCACCGATGACGACAGGAAGCCGACTTCCGAACAAACTTTGCAACAACGTGTTTATTCCGGACACGAACAGCACTGTGTTGATCACTTCTGCTTTCTCCACCTGAAAACACGACGTCGTTGCTCTACTGAGAATACTCTGTTTATATATAAATTTGAAAAGTAATTAATTTAGGTAAGACTAGCGTTAATGCCTTACATCGCCACCACCCATGAGAGGAACGAGTATGGAAGGTATGATTACAGTAGTACCAAGCATTACAACGTAATGTTGAAACCCAAGAACTATGCCTTCCGCTGCATCATATTAATTATATCAAACATATATAGCTCTAATAACACACAGTTAAACCAAAAACTAAATGAAAGAAAAAAATGCATACGCCAATTTGGAGAGCTCGATACACAAAACTCGACTCCTGGAAGCTGATCTTTAACTGGAAATGGTGCAAAATCATCTGTCTTCGTCGCCATAACTCTCTCTCTCTGTACTTCGAGAAGCTCTACTCTCTTTTGTGAAAGATGTATAATTCCCTTTACATTAAGGGCTTTGCTTAAAACGGTATCAAAAGTGCTAATTAAGCGTTAGGCGGGCAACTTTGTTGACTCTTTCTTGTTTTTTTTAGTTTATGTGTTTGTGTTCTCGTGCACGTAATTTACACTAAAATGTAATTACATGTAGAAAAATGAACCGGATTAGACCACTGGTTTGACTTAACCAGAGTTTCCAACTTGTCACTTGTCTACTTATGTGAAGAATAATATGATGTCTATATGACAAAGTCTTTAAGTAGTAAATTATTCTCATCTTTATGCCAAAAAAGTATACAACTAACTCCATCCACCATTTATACATTCTCTTTTTTACCAAGTTCAAACCTGATGTATATAATTCCTGTCTAATTTTCTTTTGTGAAGATAGATAATTTCATGACTAATTGGTATGACTTATTGTTGGCTTGCTCAAAATGAAATAAAAAAAACAATGAGGATCATCGAGAAAGATTTAGCTACGTTTAATTTAAATTAATATGTACATATCAGATTAATATGTGGGCATAAACCTATGATATTTTCAGAATCTATACTATTAATTGGGAAGGACAACTTGAAGCCAAACACCCCCCAATTTAAAAAAAAACATTTCATGAAAATAAAACCAGCTGCCAAACAGAATTATTGACAGCAAAAAACAAAAAAAAACAAAAACTATCTATATTTATGGAAATCATAATAATCTTTTACCATAAAAAGTGGACAATTAAATTCAAAATTAAATATATGTTAACATATCTATTTTGAATATACATAAACATATTTAATATTTTAATATAATTTCGAAATTAATAGTATAGACATAGATAGA